GCATGAGGCTTGTTTCATGTGTGGTGTGAACGCAGCATTAGGCGTAAATTTTGAAGCCCTTCCCCTTCACACTCTGTTTCAAGGACCAAGGGGTCGGGGTGCAAAAATAGAATTGAAATTGGGTCCAACACAGGAGTTCATGAAGAGTTAAGAATGAGTTAATGATAATGTGCCCCTTCAAGTAAAGTGATGACATAAAGATACATTAACATGTCAGGAGTTCATCTTAGTAACATTTAGCTAAAACTGAAGTGTAAATAACAATCCTGAACTAACAGGTAATTAAGGTAGACAGACACTATTCACACATTAACTCGTGTGACTCATGTTAAAGTAAGTTCATGATCAGCGCATAATCGAATACCTTATCTCAGGTATGCCCAAACCTGCTCCTGGAGGGCCACTGTCCTGCAGAGTTTAACGCCATCCCTAATCAAACACATCTTTCTATAGCTTTTTGTTGATCTTGAAGACACTGATTAACATGTTCAGGACATGTGTGTCTAATTGATGTTAGAACTAAACTCTACAGGACACCAGCCTTCCAAGACTTATCATAAGTTCATAATGAACTAATATGTAATTTATATATCAGTACATCATTATTTGTCAACTGTTATAGTAAAGAGTTACCCTGGCTATGGGTGTCTTCATTGGCGCTCATTTCTCTTGCTCGTTCTCTTGCCTCAGTGATTTCGAGATATTATTTTGCGGGGTCATCAGAAAGAAAGATATTATAATCGAACAGTCTCCCGTAGCTTCCTGTAGTGGTGTGATATGGAGACAGATGAATATATTTAAAGATAGATGCGGGACATTAGAACAGAAAGTGAGGCTGGCTAGGACAACAACACACTGCTCTGACCTCTGACCAAACTCCTTGTAGTGGTAAGCTTCTTATTTTCCAAGACCACCATCTAGCGGTCACATAACCTAATGACATGTTACTTGTTACTTTTTTATTGCAATAACAGTCCATTACAACAAATACAAATACAAAACGGATAGTAGTACAATCAATAACGTTACAAATATTACTTTTTTGCAACGAGAAATGTAACAATTTCAAAACAAATATAATATAGGTAAATCAAAAGAAAGACAAAGAGAGAGAGAAAGAAACATAAAAAATAAAAATAAATAAATAAATGAATGAGGGCACATGACAAGAATAAAACAAATTAATGCAGAATATTAAATAAAGCGAATAAAAGAATTAAATGAATTAAATGAATTAAAGAATTCACATCAGACCAAAACGATTTAACAAAGGGACATTCCCAAAGCAAGTGAGCAACAGATTCAAAAGTCTCATAGAAAGAGCAAGAGATGTCAATGTCATTTTTGAACTTTTGTAAATATTGTTTAACTGGATAAAACCTGTGAATAATTTTAAAAGATATTCCTTTAATTTTATTCGATAAAAAAAAAAATTCTGGGGGAGTGACCAAACATACAACCATTTACTATCATCAAAGAGGTTGTTCCAATAAGAAATAGAAGAAGGATTTGAGATGACAAGGTCTAAAAATAAAAACCTGATTTTATGATTGGATTTTTTCAGTGGAGAAATAAATGGATCCAACAACAGTAGAATCAGGACTAGGGGAACAAACAGAAATCAATGAATTATTGTTATTACTTCTAAAAAGCAAACAGATTTCAGAGGAGATGGCCTTACAAAAGATAGTAAATTCTATATGGGCAGAGTATATCTTGCAGTAAAATCAGAGTAATTAAATAAATTACCATTACTGTCAAATAACTGGTTTACTAATATCAGCCCATTACTGAACCAATTATTAAATAAATTTAAAATATATTTCCTCATGTAAAATATCACAGTTGTTCCAAATTTAAAAATTGTGTGGCAAGAAAATGTGCTCATAAATAAGTTTACATGCCTGAAGCATTTGCTGATGAAATTGGAAAGTTTGATAGGAAGTTTGTTAATTGAGAAATTACACATTAATGCAGGAAGGTAGCTCACCAGGAACAGGGTTGGTGACCCCTGTTCTAGATGAAACTTGACAGGTCTAATCATTTTTTGGACAATATTAAACTAAATAAATTATGAGCTGGAGAAAATCTGACCTGTGCCTGAAACACCTGTAGGTGCGCTTTTACAGCCAAAATTCTATTAAAAACATGTTTACTATAAGCATAAAACATGATTTTGTCCCATACATGAGCTCATTTGTCCAATTTTGACTGCTGTGCCATCATAAATAATGAAAATAATTCATCGAAAAAGGCTTTAAGACCAAACGGAATCCTCTGTCGGCTGTTGCTTTGGTGGGAATATAATCTGATGTAAGAGAAGTCTTCTTTCACTACTGTATCATTTTTAAACAGAGAAAACATTTTACATGTAACTTTTATTCTAAATCTTGGACCTTATTTCTGAAATAAAAATGAGCAATAGAAAGGTGTGAAGCAGCGGACCATATTAAATTATTATGAATATATTTTGGCTATTGTTAATATCCAGGAATTTTCAAATGTACTTTTTTTTTTACTTAAGAGACTAGAAAAATTCAGAAGAATTTATTATTATTGTATTATTATTATTATGTTGTTGTTGTTGTTGTTGTTGTTTTAATTATAATTTTATTGAAATGGCCAAATTGTGACTGAGTACAGCTGAATGTGCTGGCCAGTTTGTTTTTTGTAATAAATGACAGTAAGGTACCGTTTTTTTGTTTTTTACTTTAAAACTTTAACAGATTCTTATTTTTTCCCAATGATATATGATGTAATAAATTTATATTTTTAAAATTAATCTTGTTTTAATTTTTTATTGCAATTTAAAAAAAATATATATTTTTAGTACATCAAAAAGTGTGGGTATGATGACATCTGACTAGCTAATCCAGCAAAAAAAAACAAACAAAAAAATGTCACTAAAATACAGCATTTAAATCTCATAGTTAAATAGAAATTGAGGCGCATAACTGCAAAAAGGTCCACTTTTTGAGAAAAAAAAGAACCACCCCTTTTACCAGGCTGGCTACGGGCCTGCTATTAAATAATATGAAGAACTGATCCAAAATAATACCAACATCAAAACCAATCTCGTCTGAATTATCTGTGCTCAAGGTCAGGACCTTTTTTCCCCTTGAGTTTTAAGGAGAGTCCTTTTAAAAAAATACAGCATTTTTACATCATGTTATTTTTCTGCTTTGGCACACATGCTAGACTTGTTAAAAGATTTATTTATGCAATTCTACAGTAAAATTGACTGACACATGTCTATGAAATGAATGCAGACCTATAATGTAAAACATTCACAAGACATTTTTAGGCCGTAAAGTTTGCTAGAATTTCCCGATGTTTGAAATCAAACTAAATCTACACCGCCCTCTACTGGTGGCATATGCTAACATATGGCTAACGTTTGGCATGTGCTTTTTTTGGACATTGCCTTACATGAAGTGTCCAATAATATCAGTTTGTAAACGCAAAATGAATATATGAATATGCTAATATTAAAATATCAAAGTATGCAATAAATTAGGTTATTGTCTCTTAAAGGAAAGAACCGATTCTGGATGGTTTAAGTAAATCCAAGCCTATAACATTTTCTTTATGACAAATTATAATCTTTTTTGCAACTCAAACATTGTAGTTATAACTGACTCCTGGAAGAGTATGATTTGTGCTGTATTTCATTTCATAATGCACTTTAAGCTGTAGACCAGAGGTGGCCCAACTTTTTCATATAAAGGGTCAAAAATCAAATATCATTGAGAGCCGTGGGCTGAAGGTAAATATACCAAACTATATTACATTAAAGTTGTCATGGGTAATTTCCTATTTTTTTTTTATTTAATTTCAAAATAAATAGAAAACATTACTTTATATCCTATTAACTAATGCAGTATAACTTTTTAAAATGATAACTTGCAACAAAAACAAACAATCACATTTATAACACATTGAAGTTCAATGCTGAATACACTCAAGCAGAATCTGCCTTTGCCTTGATTTGCTCACCAGAGTCTCTGCATTATCAGGTGACATTAATTTCAGTTAGCTTTTAACAAACAAACAAACAATCAAACTGTTATTTTAAATTGACAATCTCTAAACCATCCCCATCATTCTCCCTCTCTTCTTAGATGGGATGGCGGGCTGAATCAAAGGTTACCATGGGCCAACTTTGGCCCACAGGCCCTACTTTGGGCATCTCTGCTCTAGACCAATCACAAAAGACTAGTGCAGAGACTAACCAGAGAAAATGCTTTCAGAACGGAAGGGTTTAAAAAAAAAAAAAAAATTAATAAAAAAGACATCACGCTCAAAATGCAATATCTTAATACTTAAAAAAAACTATTTACAATCATGACTTTACATAAAATGCTGAATGTAGTTATAGCCAAATTTATTAGTACTCCTGTGAAGTTTTTTATTTTTTTAAATATTTATATTTATAAGTGCTATTTATCAGAGTAAAAATGTTCCTAGATTTACTTAATATATATCAATTCTTCAGGAGAAAGTCGTTTTTTTCCCAATTTGGTTGAAAAAATAAATAAATAAAAAATTAAGGTCAACATTATTATTTCTTAGTATTATTAAGAAATATTTTTGTTCTCTTTTGATTGTCTACAGAATAAAGCACTGTTGTCAAATGACTTGTCTAAAAAACCCAACTAGGTAACCGAGCTAACCTTGTTAAGTATTTAAACTGTACTTTAATTTGAATACTGCAGTATCTTGCATACAACATACATTGCATACATTAAGTAACAAACAAAATATTATTAAAATAGTTATTTTTTTAACGTGTTAAAATATGTTCTCTCCATCAAACAGCACTTGCTAGGACATTTTCTGAAAAACAATTAAACTTTAATAGGAGGGCTAATCATTTACTGTATATAACAAGAGAGCGCATTTTAATCATAAAAATATGAACAGGATGTTTAAAAAAATATGTTTATGATTTACACACGGCATGCCATCATATCTGAAGACAAAAAGACATTGAGCAAGACTGTTTTTTTAAGTGGCTTTTATATTGTCGACACACTTTATGTTCAGACATATAGTAAGACTGCAATATTGATGTAAAATTGTGTGACAAATCATATAAAAATAAACCATTGATCTACAAATCCGTTTTTCATGCATAATGTCTGTTCATGAAATGTCATGACGCATCATGAGATTGTCCATAAGGCATTTCATAGGTCATAAAGCAATCATGTCTTCACAAACACTGTACCCTGCATAAAAGAGAAACTCTTGATTGTCTTCATCACAGGAAAAGAGTGCGCTTGAATTAAACAGTTGCATAGCAACAAACCAAAAAGAGAATGAAAATGACATACAGCTGCTTACGAAAATGATCCGATTGGTTTAACCCCTATTTCTGTGATGCGTAAAGAGATTAAACAAGCTACAAACTTGGAGACAGATATCAAACATCAAGTGAAGATTGAAAAATAGCAGACACATACAGTATAATTGAGAGACAAATAAAAACTTCATTCAATCAGAGTCAAAGAGCGACACTGACCTCTAGAGGAATTGTTAGGTATTACATTCTATAGGTAGTAAGGAGTTCATATTAAAAAAAGTTCTGCATCAGTTAAAGGGCCGTTTTCACATATGCTTTGCCACACAGTAACGTGAAGGTTGACGCATTTAGATGAAACATCCTGATTTAAATATCATATATGTAGCGTATATGTAGACAATTTGAGATGAAAGGGAAAATACATCTGACCAGTTGGGGTCAGCACATAAACTTGTATGTATTTTTTGTCAACTTGTGTTTAAATGTTTGCTAAGTTATCAAAAATTCTCTATATTTTGATGTTTTATGAATGCGTAGCCTCTCTGAAATCACTTTCAGGATGAAATGCAAATGTTTTTCTGAAAGATAAACTTTCAGATGCAGCCCTGATATGACTTTTACTTTGAAATCATTTGACTAAGACTTTATCAGACACTTCTGACTTTATCAAAACTTTACTTTCCTCCCTGAATTCATAATAAAAGGCACATATGGTGGCCATGATTAAAGTAATATGTTTTTCTATATCAAGGCCCTGGTTGATATATATATTTGCAAAACTATTCCTTTAATTCGGAATCTGCAACATTAAAGGGATAGTTCGTCTGTCTATTGTTGAGCACATAAGAAAACATTTTGAAGAATTCTAGAAATCTGTGGCCATTATTGACTCCCATAGTAGGAAAAGCTAATACTATGGAAGTAAATAGTTTGGGGTTTCCAAAATATATTCTAGAGAAACCCGTTTGTGGCAAGTCACACGTGGAGGGTGAGTAAATGGGTGAACTATCGCTTTAATGTATTTTAACTTGTTCAATTCATCCAAAAGGCCACTGCCACAACAGAGACAGTCTGAAGCGTTCAAGTCATCAATAAGTGAAAAAAGAGACAAAAAAGCCACAGCTCTGTCCAAAATAACCTTGAAAAATAAATGTAAAAATCCTGTTTGACAAAAAGCACATTTTAAGGCCGTTCTGCCACATTTATAAAAAAAAAAAAGTGGCATGGAGCTTCACAGAGAATATGTGAATATACAAGTTTCCTTTAAGACACATTTATAAAAACACACAATAAAATATAAACTTTCGCATTCTGTTCAGGCTATTTCATATTTACAAGGAAGAACAGACATTAAAATATCAATAATTATCAATGTACAGGACAAAACGAGTATTCACAAATCTGCAGTGATGATGGATTCGCTGTACATCAGTCTGTTAGTGTCAGCCAGCAGTGCCGCCTGACTTGGGTCTATTTGCATGGCCTTCTGTGCCATATGTCCAAAAACTGGCAGTGTACCACCTGGCACTGCTGTCATGGGCGTCAGAGTGACACAATGAGAAAGCAGTGGTGTGTTGGCGTCATGATTGGAGCCTGTGGAGGGCACGCTGGTCACGTGACCCGTGCTGGTGGAGCCGCTGGCACTACTGGGCGACCGGCTTTTGGGTGGAGGGCAATGCTGCACCACCTGTGGTGGGCCTTGAGATGCAGCAAAATGGGCAGCAGGAAATGCGGCGTATCCCGTAGGAATAGGGTATCCATTCACAGGTATAAAACGTTGGCTTTGTGGCATTGGTGCCGCCATGAAGCCTGTAATCTGTCCAGGTTGAAGGCTCTGTGGAGCCCCATAGATGTAGCCGGCATAGCGTGGGCTGCTGAGGTTGCTGACAGGACTTGCGCTCAGAGAGGTAGTCTGGGTGGTGGCGTTGCCTCCAGATGGTGTGCTGGAGCTGGCATGAGAGGACAGACCCTCCCAAGCCCGTAGACGTGTATGGATGTCTTTAAATCTCGGCCGGCGAGCAGGACCTTCTTGCCAACACTCAGTCATCAGGGCATACATGCGAGGAGGGCAATCCTCTGGACAGGGCAACAGCTGCCTCTTTCGTACCATCTCCATCACCTCCTGATTGCTGAAGCCATAATAAGGCTGCAAACCAAAGCTGAAGATCTCCCATAAAACCACACCAAACGCCCAAACGTCAGAATCTGTGCTGTATTTCCCATAAACTATGGCCTCTGGTGGCATCCAGCGAATAGGGAGGAGGGTGTTGGGTTGGACTCTGTAATAATCAGAGGAGTAGATTTCTCTAGACAACCCAAGGTCGGAGATTTTGATGTGCAGTTGTTCGCCAACTAGGATGTTACGGGCTGCAAGATCTTTGTGGATGAAAAAATGGCTGGCCAGGTATTCCATTCCAGCCGCCACCTGAATGGCCAGGTGAAGGAAGTCTCCGTGGTCGAGGCTGGACTTGACAGTGCCGTCTTCGTCGCTGCTGCAGCCCACATCTGAATGTGGAGAGCGCATGATGAGGAACTCGTGGAGGTCGCCTTGGGCCAGGAACTCGAAGAGCATGCAGACGGGCTGCTCTTGGGTCACTACACCCAGGAGACAAACCACATTAGGGTGGTGAAGTTCTGCCAAGACGGATGCTTCCTGCTGGAAATCGCCCCAGTGTTGTGCACTGGAGATGTCCTTCAGGGTTTTTATGGCCACAAGTTGAGCGTGCTCCATGCCAGGCAGGTACAGGTGGCCTTTGTAGATCTTACCGAAGGCACTCTCGCCCAGCTCCTCCATGAAGCGTACCGCAGACAGAGGAAGCTCCTTGGCTTTACTCTAGAGAAGAGAAGCAAATAGAAAGATAAGTATGGCTTGGCAAATTTGTTATGGAATTTATTAGGCAAAAATTATTTGTGTATATTTAGTGACACTTTTTTTTAACTGTTATAAACATCCTTTACAGGTTTTTGTATCCGCCCAATAACCAAACATCTGTGAGCCGCGAAAAACTTTATTTTTAACTACTATTAAGAGGATAAGATGACAGTTCCAAACTGGCTGCTAAATGTATGTACATTATTAGTAATGGTTAATCTACACATTTGCCTTATTAAAATAATCTACAGTTTTTAATCTTGTAATTGATCATTTTTAGAGATATGGTCTGTTTTTATTCCTTTTTCTGTCATTTATTTCTCATTTGCAGAAACAGTGTATAATAAATAAAATAATTGTTAAAAGTTAAATTATGTATTGTTTGTCGCACTCCAGATTAATAAAGGGACTAAGCCGAAAAGAAAATGAATGAATTGTTTGTTGCATATAGTTAACTATTTATATATATATATATATATATATATATAAATAACAAACTTGATAATGCCCAAGGTCCTTTAAATAAACATTATTGAAAATGAAATTGCATTAATTAGGTAAGTCCAGATCTGATCACGTGATAGGAAATCAGGAAATCGGACGTTGCCTCCCGATCAGCACTCGAATATATATGTGTGTATATATATATATATATATATATATATATATATATATATATATATATATATATATATATATATATATATATATATATATATATATAGTTTTGTGGTGGCACAGGGTTAGACCTCTTTCTTGACTTCACAAAAAAACAGCAATGTGTGCGGCATGACATCACTTTATTGCAGAGACCCTATTGGTTAAACGCCGGCAAAGTAGAACACTGATGCAGCTTGAAATCGCGAGTATGGCTGGTGGCATTATAAAGGTCATTCATTCATTCATTTTCTTTCCGGCTTAGTCCCTTTATTAATTCGGGGTCGCTACAGCTGAATGAACCGCCAACTTATCCAGCATATGTTTTACGCAGCGGATGCCCTTCCAGCTGCAACCCATCACTAGGAAACATACATACACACTCATTCAAACACATACACTACGGACAATTTTAGTCTATCCAATTCACCTGTACTACATCTTTCGACTTGTAGGGGAACCCAGAGCACACAGAGGAAACCCACGCGAACACGGGGAAAACATGCAAACACCACACAGAAATGCCAACTGATCCAAATGAGGCTCAAACCAGTGACTTTCTTGCTGTGAGGCGAACATGCCACCCACTGCGCCACCATGCAGCGCATTATGAAGTTGAAGGTAACATTGCCATAGCAAACTGTGAGGTTTGAGGTGCTGTTTGTATTTATTTTAGATTTACTGTTGCACTAAAGTCCAAATGTGAGGAATTTATGCTATTTATTACTTGATTGTTCAAGCTACCTCACAGAAGTGCTGTTTGTTAACAGAGTTTTTGAATGTTAAAATATAAGGAAAAAATAAGGAACATCCTGGATCTGTTTCTTATTATGTATTAAGTATCGGATCGGATTTTGGTATTGGTAAATACTCAAAATCAAATGACTCGAACTCAAGGGCAAAAAAACTGATTGGGACATCCCTAGCATTAATAGTATAATTACATTTAATCTATTCAAGTAAAATTAAATAGAGTATTTGACAATATGACTGAAGTGAATGCTTTAACATGTCATTATTCGTTCCATTTTAAATTCACAAAGTAACTCTTTGCAGCGGCATTTTTCATCTTCTGCTCAGTTGCTGAAAAACAAGACATTCTACGACCTCAACCACTGACCACAGAAATGCATAAAACCTCTGTTGGCTCCTAAAATATTCTCACTGTCGTGTACATTTATGTAGTTGGCAGCAGCAGTCTCACCACATACATGACAGTCATTGTGACTCTACTGTTTATCCCCTATATGTGAAATATAGATGTAAGAAGCATGGATAATGATGTTTCATGGGAAAGAAACTGTTCTGTTCAACGCAAAAGAAGATATTTAAAAAGATGCTGGACAGCCCGTGTAATGCATTGCAGTAGGGCTGAACAATATTGGAAAAAATCTAGCATTGGGATAGTTTTTGATTTTGCGATATGAATACAATTTCACCAGATGACTTAATATCTCTATTTGGAAATAAATGACTATGTTGGATTGGCATGATTCTGCTGTGGGAGTGCATCTCCATAAAATCTAATAAACAATCTATAAACTTTTTGGGATCCACTGACAGATTTTCGTCATGGTCTGTGCTATTTGGAGTGTGTTTCTGCATTTTCATGTGTTGTGAGTATTTTCATGCCTTACAATCTATGAATACAATCAAGGAAAAGATTGAAAAAGTGTTTAATTGTTTTCAGAGTCTAACAGTGTTCAAGTACAGTAAGAGAATGATAAAAATAAAAATAATTCAATAAAGTTAATCGTAGTTAAATGTACAAATGATACAATTTATTATTGAATGAATGTTACGGAATGCATTACTGGAGGCGACAGCACTATACTGCACCACCGCGTTGGCCTCTTTATAAGTGTTTTCATACGTAAATAAAATGAAAGCACAGAACAGATTCACATCTAAGAGCAAGGGGCATCCTCTGGAGGTTCGATGGTATGGGTTGCATATAGGGAGGTTCGGCTCTTTGATATTTATTGCCACCCTTCATAGAAAGATTAAAAATACAGGAGAAATATGGAAAAATACCTTTATGGCATGATAGCGGGATACAATTGTAAAATACGGGAGAATCCCAGGAAAACGGGAGGGTTGACAGGTATGCATATTATCTAAATAACAGTATTTTATGTAAAGTTAGTGGACACCATCAGCCATTGACCTCCACAGTATTTGTTTTTCCCACCATGAATATCAATGGTCAACAGGCTCCAACTTTCGTCAAAATATCTACTTTTGAAATTCAAAAAGCTTTGGTACCAACATAGAATAAGTAAACAGTGAATAAACGTATATTTATGGGTGAACTATTCCTGTAAAATATAAATGAATAGTGTCTCAATAAAAGATAGGAGCCTCTTTCTTTGAAAGAAGCAGATGTTTCACGTTAGCGTCAACTTTGCCTGAGGCTAAACATGTCTCATCGCTGTTTTAGATATTACTTGAGTGAGCGGTGACCTTAATCTAAACTTTGGCTTGTAGTCGCGAGTGTAAAAAAAAAAGGTCTCAATCTGTTACAGACACAAACAGCACTTCAGGGTGTCAAAATATCTGATTAATACTGAAACTGAGTGAAACTACCATCATCTCATCAAAATATTTGTTTGTAAAAATGTCACTCTAACCAGTTACCAAGATGAAAAGGCAGAATGAATGAAAAATCTCATTTGATTCTTCTTTGAATGATTTGAGGGGAATGATAACAGTCTGATTATATTTAGATTGCTCTCCGAGCCTGGAAGAGATTGCCTCCATATGCTCATCCCCTCATGCCGTTTTCCTCCTGTTTGTGCAGCCCCTGAACCCTCCCCATCGCCCAGGAATGCACACTAATTCAAACGTTATGAGAATGACACACTACTCCATAAGATAAAATGTAGAAAAATAAAACGCAGCACGGGAGAGATGAGAGAGACACCTGGTGATAGTGCTGTTTATTTACACATGCAGTCTGTGTTATTTTAGCACCCGACTAACTAAAGAAATCAGGCCAGTTAGAAATGTGTTAAATATCGCTTTCAGACTATTTAGAGCAGGGATTGCTACACTTGTAGTTCAGTTATGTTGCTTTGTTTGAATCGGATTCAAAAAAGAAAATGATCCTGGTTTACTTACTGTACTTATACCCATACACATGCACACACACTCACACAGAAATGGCTTTTATGATAAAAAAGGGTGTGTATAATTAGTGACAATAGCTGCCTAACATCCAAAAGAGTGCTGTGTGCTGGGCTAAACATATTTGTTGTAATAAGAAAATGTGTAAAGGAATAAATACAGTGCTAGGAATTCCTTCATTGCACACACTAACAAAGATCTGCTGCAAGATGTTTTTCTGATAACTGTATTGAACCGTAATGGGCCTCAGTATAGTGTACTTCAACTAAAACTGAAGAATGAACTTACAAGACATCATTTTGAACAATTGTTCAGTTTTTTTGACGGATTAAAACAGCTTCAAAAAGCTATTTTTCTATATGGATGGGCAGAGCTATCTTGCTACTGATATTAGAGATTCCAATGTAGGCATTGGTATCACATCAATACTAGCCTGACGAGATGGTTAAGCCCTGTAATCAACACTAAAGAACATTCTTACAAAAAAAAAGAAATATTACTTTGATTTATGGTGCATCATTAGTTATTGTGTATTTACAAGTTACATATACATATACGCTGCCACAGAGTCTTAATTACAAACAGGAAACTGCATGTTCCTTAAAGCGGTGGTCCACTACGATATCATATTTTAAACTTTAGTAAAAACATCTCTGAATGTAATACGCTTAAAGTTCAATGCAAAGGGGGACATTGGCTTTTACAAAGTTAGCTTAGCCAAGTGTACAGAGAACACAGTTTGGGGACTACAGAAAAAATACACCGGGGTTAATGATGTCATAAACAGTATTTAAACAGCAGAGGCATAGTCCGTGCAAGAAGAGGCATGGCACTTCCTGGTGACATGGAGCTGATCCATGAATCACAGCACACTATGTTAGCTGACCAATCAGTACCCCTTTAGGGCGGGCTTTTGGAGGAACTAGGAAATATGAAACTTGTTTTCATGTCAGCTGAGTAGCAGTATATAATTAAAGTAGGATATTTGGAAAAAATAATGTGATTTCTTTTACAAATAAAGAATGAGTACACATTGTTTTGGACCCAATAAACACAACCAAGCCTTACAAATACACTCTGGACCACCCCTTTATGCACAGAGAGAAAACAAGACAAGCATCTGTTCTAACTGTATTTGTTTTGTTGAAGTTAACAGAATTATAGCTACTATCAAGTTGCATCTATACAAATATATTAACAGCTCACCTTTGGTTTGTAGGCTGTGAGCATGGACATCTCCACGTTCTGGCCACGAACGGGTTTGGGCTGACGTGGTGCTGGTGGACGTGAGGCTTTCTGGTTGTTTCGACAAACACAGATGAAAAAGAACAGCAGAGCAATAGCCAGTGGTATAGCCACACTTGGTACCAGGATGTACAGGATTCCCATACTGTTGCTGCTGCTGCCATGCTTGGGCAAATCTGAAGACAATCAATACACAAACATATTGAGTAAAACAATGAGTAGTAGCATACATGTAATTTTTCAGAATTGTTTGCATTTTATTAAGATTTGGATTAAAAATGATGTTTTTTTTTTTTAAATCTCTGGCAGTCTACTGAAATAAAGATCAAAATAATGTCACTTGTAGTCTTCTATTTTTTATTTTCATGACACTTGAAATAGGATGTCTATTGTTGTAAACAAAACAAAATGACAGAAATATGTCACAAAAATACTTAAATATCAAAGTTAATTCAAAATATGTATACTGAACATAATAGTGCAGCCATGTAACAGAATCATTTAAAATAGTATAGTAATAGTAATAATCCCTTACAATAGTATAGTATTAGTATAATATAATAATAATAATAATAATACTGGTGCAATAAATCATGGCATAAAGTCCTTTAACAAACTCATTAAAACTTACAGAGCATTACACGCCTAGTTAGACAATTGTGACTAGAGAATGCAAATCTGAACCTAGCTTATGGCAGTATGAGCGGTGTGTCTTACCGCATGGAGGAATGTCACAGAGCTCCATGCGCACAGCCTCATCGAGGGTGAAACACCAGGGAGCGTCGTGCTTGTTTCCGGGGTTGCGGCAGTAGGAATGTCCCCCGTTGAGTTCTGGATAACGCATGGCCAGGAAGGTGTGACTGTGGGGATACTGAGAGTTCCACGGCTGACACTGACGACCAGATTTAGTCACACTGACAGTGCCACGGTAGTCTGAACCACTGTTGTTGTAACATTTGTGACCTAAAATAGAAAGACATGAAGATAATTGATTTCTTTTCTGTTAAATCATGTTTTTTCAAGTCTTTTTCAGCAGTTTTTGCAATTACTAGCTCATTTGCTCTTTTTTAGTACAAATCTCAAAATATTCTTGTATCAAGATGTGTTAATTTAATAAGTGACTTAAAATAGAATGAAAGAACTCTTCCTCAGGCTATCCTCGATGTTTGTTCAGTAGAAAACTAAAATTTTTAGCTGAAACAGGTTATTAAGTAATAAATTGCAAGGCAATGACTACTACTAATTTGAGAGTACAAAAAAAACATACAGTGGGGAAAAAGTATTTAACGTCATTTTTTTCTGGGAGTAATATTTCTAAAGGAGCTGTTGACATGGAATTGAACCAGATTTTGGTAAAAACATCAAACAAAAGAAACATAAAAATAAAACAAAACAAAAAACAAAACTGTTATATTTAATAACAATAAGATGACAAAAGGAGAAAGTACTGAACTACTGAAATGTATTTAATACTTTATATAAAAGTCTTTTTTGGTGATGGCAGCTTAAAGACGCCTCTCATATGGAGAATGAAGTGTGAGTGTAAAAATCTTAATCGTTCTGTGGGTTCAATCTATCAAATCTGATTTTTATCTTGTATTTTGTATTAGATTCGAGTCAGGTGATTGGACGGACCATTCTACAGCTTGATTTTCTTATTCTGAAAGCAATTGAGAATTTCCTTGGCTGTGTTTTGGATCATTGTCTTGCTGAAATGTCCACTCTGGTTTCATCTTCATCATCCTGGTGATGTAGATTAAACTGAAGCAGCTAATATTAATTTACAATGATGAAGGGCAGAGGGTTACTGAAGAACTACTGAGACATTTCAGCTACGGTCTGGGCTTTCACTGCCTTCCTACAGCTCCCTTTCTTCATGCGTTCAATATTTTTTTCCTGTGTGTTTCATGTTATTACACGTAACTTAATCTCTAAACTATTTAATATTGTTTTATATATTAATTTCTTTGGTTGTTACCAATATCTGGTGAAAATTTCAAGTTAACAACATATTTAGAAATATGTTTTCTGAGAAAATGGTGACGTGTGCAATAATTATTTCCCCCACTGTATGAAAAAGGCAAACTAATAACCATTGCTCTGTGATGATGTGCTAGGAATCTAGGAGTCTATGTGAGAAACATTGAATAGGCAGTGTTTTTGAATAGCCATTGACTTTTTATGAATCACAAAAATGAAATTACACAAATAGTTTTTGGTGAACTGTGACTTTTAAATATTAAGTCTTGATTTATGAAAGATTTATAAAAATTAATTTGAGATTGTGCTTAAAAATAGAATGAAATATAAATGTGCAGGATTTACGATAAACAATTCCAGCAGAAAGCACAAATCTTTTTTCTGTTGTCATTGGCAGATATTTTTCCTCTTTATTTTCCTAAATAAATTAAAAATTAATGTTAATTATGGTCAATTAAATTTGGCTGCCTAATAAATCATACCCGTTTGATCCTTTAAGTCACAATTGTATGTATTTTATATAAAAAAAGGAAAAATGCAAGATATTTGGATAAACCTTATTTAGGAAAAATATTTTTTTTCTACTGCCATTGGTAGATATTTTTTTTCGTTTTAAACAAAAACTTCTTTTTTTTTTTTTGAAATCAGGTATTAATACCTTGTATCATCTCACGTTTAGATATTTGTACAAGAAAACAATTTTTGCTTTATTTTAATAACAACACAGAAGACCTACTTTTATTAATGGTCTCCGCTATAGGAATGCCAATCCTCATGCAGTTTGCAGCCTCGGGACTGTCCAAAGTGGCCAGATCTTCACATTTAGGCAGTTTGAGTCGTTTAAGAATGAGAGGGTTTGATCGAGCGATGATGTACTCAGTTTTACATAGGTCATTCTCCAGAATCTCACACTCATCTTTACATAAGTCCCGCGGCTTGTCCATGCCAGAGCTGCGGTCGCATGTCGGGAAGGCAAAGTGACACAGGGATGGGATGGCAAACTGGGAACAGCGATCGGACAGGTGATTGGAGGTGCCAATCATGGTGAATGCCGCTGAAAAAAAAAAAAAAGGTCAGAGGTTTACACCATTGTGGTTTTTAACAAGCTATGTTAAAGTCTTGTGTATTTGAGGGGAATTATAGTTTAGACACAAATAACAAAAACACAAAAGTTCTGGTCAATTGTTGTGGTTTTGCAAGAAGTCATGCGGTTCAGAACAAACTGACTGCTCACTACTGAGGGGTAACCACAGTGAATGCTTGTGTGATGTAAAGGGATACAACTGGAAACTTTCTCACAGTAAACTGTAAGACAAGTCCAATCCAAAACTAAAACCAGGCTTAGTTTAGTTTATGTGTGCATTATACCAAGATTTACTGTATCCTTAAAGGCACAGTGTGTACTTTTCACTGTGAATCTAGAGTGTGTGATATCATTTGTATGGCGACACAGGACATGTTACGTGTTAATAGGTAAACTGCTATAAAACATTTAGCACAATGCAAGTACATTAGTCAGCACATTATAAAACTCGTACATATTATAAAACACGTACATATTGTGCCTTTAAACACAAAAACTGCCACATACTTTTTCTAAAAAATGAAGAGGGATGAAACAGATAGTAAAACCTTGGTAAATAAATAAGATGGTACTGAACGATCATGATATTTACATGTAACGTGCATATATTTAATAGTACTATATACTGTGATAATAATAAACATGAGCATGTTTTTTTTTTATTGTGGGCACTTCAAAATTCATCTATTCATTCATTTTCTTTTTGACTCAGTCCCTTTATCAATCTGGGGTTGCCAAAGCAGAACCAACCGCCAACTTATCCAGCACATTTTTTTTTAACGCATCGGATGCCCTTCCAGTCGCAACCCACCACCGGGAAACACATATATACTTACAGTATGCGCACACACAAATACACTATGGACAATTTAGCGTAGCCAATTCACCTGTACCGCATGTCTTTGGACTGTGGGGGAAACCGGAGCACTCGGAGGACCTCACGCAAACGCAGGGGGAACATGCAAACTCCACACAGAAACGCCAACTGACCCAGCCGAGGCTCGAACCAGCGACCTTCTTGCTGTGAGGCGAAAGCACTACCTACTGCGCCGCCGCACTTCAAAATACTGTAAACAATTATTTATTATTTAAACCTTTAGACATCCTTTATACATTTTTATAAATAAAGAACATTCACACTGTTATATTTGCAGTTTTGTTCATCACAGAACCAAAATGCTTGGTTAATAGACTATTTATTTTCAATTGTTTCATAGTAATCTGGGATATGACATGCCTAAGATTTTGACAATGTTTTGATTGATTCTTAATAGTTCTGTGCTTTAACACTTTACAAAAAGGCTCCATTGATTTAATATTTAACTATAATGAAGACGAACACTACTTGCAAAGCATTTAAATAAAGCAAATTTCTTAGATAAAGTTTAATGACCTATTAATATAAAATTATTTTTTATTTTGTTTTAATAGAGCCAATAACTAATAGTAATAATAATAGCTAATAGCTATACATTTTTAAACTAACAACATCAACGTAATATCTATAACAAATTATGTAGGGTAAATTGTTTGTAGTGTATGAGTGTGAATGAGTGTGTATGGGTGTTTCCCAGAGATGGATTGCAGCTGGAAGGGCATCCGCTGCGTTAAACATGTGCTGGATAAGTTGGTGGTTCGTTCCGCTGTGGTGACCCCGGATTAATAAAGGGACTAAGCCGAAAAGAAAATGAATGAATTAATTAATTAATGAAATTTTGCACTGCTGATGTTAGTTAACACATTCACTAATGCTTACTAACAAGGCCTTCTTGTAAAGCACTACCTATTGTATTTATACTTACAATTAGTTTGAATACTTATATTGAAACGGTTTTAAACATTTGTTTACACTGAACATTTATGTAATATAAAGTAATACATAAATATAAGTTCCTTTTTTATTATATCTGTTTAAAGTAACTTTTTAATATCATGATTGCTTTCAGCAATTATCACATTCACAACAAGAAAACCATCATATGCCTATTTGCATGCTAATACATATAGAACACCATTACAGCAAATGTCCATCAACACAGGCTAGCTGCCTAAAGCTATCTTACATAAGGCTTCATATCATACTGATTTTATCAGCTCCGTTTCAGTTGATGTCTGTACAATGCAGTGCTTTTGAAATGCCTTTTGTAAGCACTGAACGTTTCTTTAGAGGAATACCTGTGATTTGGGTCTCAATCTCGCCTTGCATCTGCAGCGAGTCCACAAAAATGCTCCTGTTTCCTATGAAGCGAGCGCACGCAATCCCTCTGTATGGCTGGCAGAAACCCTCCTCGTCAAAATCCTCTCTAAAAACAAAGTAAAAATGAAATATACGTGTTATTTATGGTCATTTAGATTAGCATATTATATATTTAAACATCATGCCTACTTTCCCAACAGTGTTTTTGTAAGGCTGTAAGTCTAACTCCAAACACTAGATGGCAGTAAGCGCCACTGGATCGCACAAAAAATGCACACAATCTCACAAAAACAATCTTGCATATTTAATCAGCCTATACAATAAATACAAAGCCAACATATGAAAAAATACATTCAAATGGAATATCATACAGGTCCTGGATATATCATTTAAAGCATTCAACATATCATAAATCGTAAAAAAAGACGTTTTATCCTACGTCTGTATGTCATGCCCTGTAATTTAAACCATATGAACGGGTGGTTCTTTTAAAGCGTATGTCATCCATATATACACTATGAGAAAGAAGCAAAGACTGAGTCACTGCTAGACTCTGGTGATTTGCAATGTGGTAAACCAAAACTATTTGACTTAATGTGAAATACAAAATGAGAGAAAGCAACGATCGCATATGAAGAGTCCAAATAAATAGAAAAAATAAATTCTTTATTAATTAAAATGGTTGCTCGTGTTAATGAGAAGCAGACACGTGAAAGGTCAGAGGTCAAAAGTCAGAGCATTTTCTGAGGAGCAAATGTCAATCCAGACATTAGCACTCAATCTGGGTATGATTGGAATGGTAAACACGCTTACTATCGACTGAATACCAGACATCATATACTGCATGCTATCAATAATTCTCAATAAAAGAATCAGCACTATTTAATGACCTTAAATACACCATAACATCATACAAGTTTAAAAATATTATAAATGTGACTATAAATGTCACTATATATGCTAATTTGGTGTTTAATAAATCGGTTTACTTCTTCTCACAGCTAAAAATGGTGCTATATTTTTCCTAATATAAATACACCATCATTCATTTTTTCCCCTACAGTGTTTAAAATGTGTTTATTTTTTTAAGTAAAATAAATTTAAAAAATGTGTAAAAAGTTTTTTGTAAGCATATAGTTCTTCTATACATTGCATTTCAATTTTGCTTAAGTTGAATTTAGTGTAGCAATATATTATTAGGCAACCAATGAATCTTGTCAAAAGTGATAATGACATATTAAAAGGCACCATTTATAGTCTGCTACAAAATACTCAATTACTGCCACTTAAACCTTTACCATTCGCCACTACAAAGATATAAAAAAATCCAATCACCTTCATCATTAAGGGGAGAGCAGGGCACAAAGTAACACTTTTTGGTTGTGGTCAAATAATAAACACTGAGGAAGGCTTTGTGCCGAAACGTCTGTCTTTTAATCACCCGTAAAATGTAAGAAAAATAAAAAATAAAAACAGTACGAAGCAATTGAGTGCGAATCATTACCTTTTTTCAAATAATAAACAAAGTAATGTGGTGAGACAAACCATATTTTTTTACCAATTTTTTTTACCAACACACAAACCTTTCCTACAAATGAGCACTGAAATTATGATCGCTGGACCTATGGTTCCTTTGCAGTATTGCCAAAAGTGCCAGGAGTAAAAATGTTACTATTTACCCCACCTGCAGGGCAAGTTGTAACAGACAGGGGGTTAGTTGTAACATGCTTACAAAGGCAGATTTCACCCAATTAATTTAATTTCTATTTACTTTAAATAGTAGCTATATCATTTCATCAGTAATTGGCTCAGTTTTTTTATTCTACATTGCAAAGTAAGTTTATTTATTTATTTGTTTATTGGATAAACACATTATTATCCATTTATCCATTATTATACAATGCATTTATTTGCATTATTAGCAATAAAATATATTTTTTTCTATTAAAAATAAATTTTCTATTAAAAAAAAACATTTTTATTTAAAGAGTTCCCAACATTAAACTCAAAATACAAAAAAACATTTTGTTAGTTTAATTGGTGTGCAACAGTGTGTAGCTTAATTGTAACACCTTGTTACAACTAACCTCGAGGTGTTGTGTTTTTCTTAACACTGGCTAGCAGTCACTGTGTGTTTTACATGTATTAAAATGTTTTGATCTTTTAGCCTAGAAGACAGTAATCACAGCAATATAAGATTTTACTTACATACTCTCAGATATATTTTTTAAATAAAAAAGTAAACTATAATAAACACCACTTTTATGCTGCAAAAATGGTTTCTCCTGTGTTTCTCATCCAAATTTTGCAGAACTTTTACAATAATTGGCAGGAAGACGTCTGACGACATTGTGGTGAAAACCTCGGAAGAATGCCATGATAAACCCTGAGCAAATACCTTAAAACTCTGTGTTACATTTAACCCCACGTTACTTTATGCCCCGCGCTCCCCTAAAAGTTGGATTTCATCATTAAAATGGAATTTCTTTGACCCATGTATATGAAATTATACACTGAAATATATCTAAGCTACATGCAACCAATAGTAAAGTTCTGTTTTGTAAAGATGAATAATTTTTTTTCCCCAAAAAATGATTCTGTGAAAAATGATGTAAGAAATATTTCAAATCTGAAAGTGTGTGCTTGTTCAGGCCAGCAGTGGCAGACAGAGGAAAAGTTTCACAGTTCTCCAGCATGTGCGTCACAGGAGAATGCGATGGTAACTGTGGCCTCCCACAGAAAGCTAAATGACAAGGAGCAACATTTGTTGTGGAGAATTACAAACTATTTTTGCATAATATTATTTTTTTCAACCCTCTTCTTTCCTTACACGCTCTCCTTCTGTCTTACACATGGCTGTTTCTAATTGTAGATACTGCACATTTGGTATCCAAACTCAATTCTTCAATTCTTTGAAATGGCTTTATTTGTATTTATTTTAATAATGTGTGAGTCATTGTCAGGATGTTACAGGCCATAAAAATAAAATATTGTTGCAAAAATGTCTTATACAGTGTAAAATATCTTGTTGAAAGAGTTAATACATTTTTCTAGTCATCTCAGCTTACATCAATCAAACTGATTAAATATATTACATTAAACTTTTTATAACTTAATAGTTGAAACTTGGTCATTCTTTTATAAGTTAAACCAACAAAAAATATTAGTTTTCTTGACTTTTTATCATTACATTTTTTATAGTGTATAGTTAAAAATCATAAGTTTGAATCAGTCAGTGTATTTTTCACATAATTTATTATTGTGCAATGAAAAGATATAGTTTTACTTTTCTTTTGACAATTTTTCATTCATTCATTCATTCATAAATGGTAGTCATTTTCCTAATTCTACAACATTAGCTTAACAAAGTTAAAAAAAAATATTTTTTTAATAAAACATGAATCAATTTTAATACTGTGCCATAAATATTTTTTCCCAAAATTATGTGAGATACAGGAAACAATCAAAGAAACCGATTGATAAAGAAATTACTTTCCTTAACTGATAAAATTATCTGAGCTGATAACAATAATATATTGAATTTCAATAAAATTTATGTCAATAACAATGATAAGCTTTGGACTTTTTTACACTAAAATAATCTAAGAGCCAATGACACAGCAGAAATGTGCAACAATGGGAATCAAATGTGTTGATATTAGAGATGGAGCAAATTTTCGGCCACCGAAAATTTATCAGCCAAAAATATGTTATGCCATTTAATGGACCGTCTAATTTTTTTGGCTTTGGACATTGTTGGGATGCTCTTTTAAATCTGGAAGCATAAACAACTTTTCGAAATATAAATCGTTATCGATCAATATGGAAAATAATTATCGAGACTGCATTTTTGCCATAACGCCTAACTGTATTTGTGCTTTGAAAATATTTTGATCTAATCTGAATTTTTTGACCACATTTTCAAAAACAACACAGAATTGATCATTGATGAAACAGTGGCTTGTTTAATTTTTTTTAGAACCATGGATTCTTAATATTTATGCTAGCAAGATATTTTGTTAAATAGTTTACAACTGTCTATAATATTACCATCAAACTCAATACTATTATGCTGACAAACATATGAAGGAATTATTTCAAATATACATATATTTAACGTTATACAGGGTGGGCCATTTATATGGATACACCTGAAAAAAATGGGAATGGTTGGTGATATTAACGTCCTGTTTGTGGCACATTAGTATTTGTGAGGGGGCAAACTTTTCAAGATGGGTGGTGACCATGGTGGCCATTTTGAAGTCGGCCATCTTGGATCCAACTTTTGTTTTTTCAATAGGAAGAGGGTCATTTGACACATAAACCCAATGGGGAATTTCACAAGAAAAACAATGGTGTGCTTGGTTTTAACGTAACTTTTCTCTTTCATGAGTTATTTACAAGTTTCTGGCCACTTATAAAATGTGTTCAATGTTCTGCCCATTGTGTTGGATTGTCAATGCAACCCTCTTCTCTCATTCTACACACACTGATAGCAACCCCGCAGGAGAAATGCCAGCACAGGCTTCTAGTGCCCGTAGTTTCAGGTGCTACACATTTTGTATCTTTACACCATAGACAACAAAGATGGTGGGGCCATCCTTTATCAATGGAAACCTCAAGGCCACTGGATATTTGAAATTGCTGCATGAGGATGCGTTTCCCTCTTTATGCACTGAAACTGGCATGTTCCTAGAGTTTTTCCAGCAAGATGGTGCACCACCACATTATGGGTGTCAGGTTCGAGCATTCAGATGAACAGTTTCCTGAAAAGTGGATTGGTTGTCGTGGGCCAGTTGAATGGCCCCCAAGGTCTCCCGATCTGACCCCCTTAGACTTTTATCTTTGGGGTCATCTGAAGGCAATTGCCTATAGTGTGAAGATGCAAGATGTGCAGCACCTAAAAACTACAGATACTGGAAACCTGTGCTGGCATTTCTCCAGCGGTGTTGCTATCATCAGTGTGTGAAGAGTGAAATTCCCAATAAGTTTAATGTGTCAAATGACCCTCTTCCTATTGAAAAAATAAAAGTTGGATCCAAGATGGTTGACTTCAAAAGGGCTACCATGGTCACCACCCATCTTGAAAATTTTGCCCCTCACATA